TATATATATATATATATATACAATTAGTTGCCCTGATATACGCCAAGACCCTGATGTGCTTCATCTGGATGTGCAGACACCGAGTTTCCCACCGGCTGGCTTGCATTGCAGTTGCTGTTGCTACCTGCGGCAAAGACACAACATGTCTCCCAGGCGCGACATACCAAAGCTTTACAGGAAGACGTCGTATGATCACTCTGAGCGGCTGCCAAGTTGGGAGGAAACACGTGCCAGGGAGATCCAACTTGCAAAAAGAACGAATCTGCAAAAGACCTTCGGATTTCTCTGCACACTTCTGGACCCCGTGCCTCCGCAAACGCTGTTGCCATAGTCATTATCAGCCCACGACCATGTGTGGGAGTCTGCTGGCTGCCTGGGAAGCAACGGATGCACAGTTTTTTGCGGCTGCGTCGTTGTACGACTTCAGCTTTTGCGCTCGAGATGAAGCTCCCAAGAGACAGTAGTGGTACTGCGAACGACAGGTAAAAGCATTGCTGGGACATGCATGGACCACTGGGGGGTATGCGCTGGCGGACGGACCACTAAAGCAGCCAGCGCCCTGACAGGGAGACAACTGTCAGATGTCGGGAGCATCACGCGCTGTGCAAGGATGGTGGCTGAGACTGCCTACGCTCCGCGGCCCATGCCTGCAACCCCATGCGAAAAGCTTGGCACTGCCGTTGTTGCGCTGCATCGCAAGCACCTTAGCAATGCATGGTGGTGGACGCTGTCCCTATGCCGATTCCCTGTACACCGCATGGTACCTGGACAAACTTGTGATAGCCAACGTCTCTTCTGGAGTGCGCCGAGACAACAGGTGCGAAAGGCTGCGCACACGACTTCTACGAATGGCAGTAGACTCAGTAGACAGTGAAGCTCTGTCTGAGGGGCGAACCACTTGCTGGACGCCCCGAGACAAGACTTCCTCGAACTCCTCCCGCGCAGGCCTTTGTTGTCGGATGTTGAAATTTGTCCAGCAGCTGCTTCTGGCTCTATCTCGCCCAAATATATGAACACGCGATTGGTAAGGCCAACGAGTGCATGCAGCAAGCGAGCTTGCACCTAGGTGCGATGGCTTTGCAGCGCTGGAAGACTGCACTTGCTGGCAGCATCAACATATGTACACATAACAAGGACATCCTCATGCTTTTTCGGGGGTCGGAATTCTCGACGCATTGACCGTAAGCAGAGAAGCTCACAAGAGACTCACCGGCGGCCTCTTCACCCTCAGCGGAGCACGATTCCCACAGACCGCAGCACCCGGTCGAGCTCCGTGGGAGGCCGGCTGCTACCACGCGACTTCTGCTGCTTGGCGAAGGCCCACAACAGAAGATTCAGCCTGATCAGAGTGAAACAAACTGCCCGGCCTTCCGACACCGTGCGTTCATTTTGCAGATAGCGGGCATAGATGCAAACATGCATATTATATGGCTAGATGGCCATGACACATTGCAGCGAGGATGAATCCAAGCTGGCACAATAGCTTCATCTGCAATCCAGCTCCGACAAACTGCTTCATGTCCGGGTTGGACCCCACCTCGCGCATGACCTCGCAAGCACAGCCTTTAGCTGATTGAGTACAGACTGACCCTAATTGGGCAAATAGTTCTATCAGTGCGCTTTGGAAAACTGTCTCATCACACCGTCGGTAAGGAATTCCCAATAAATTCATTCCTCAGACCTCCGAGCACCCCGTTGCGAAGAAGACTACACAAGTGTAGACTCGTTTGTTCCATTGCAACATGTAGTTCATTTTTGTTTTCCAGAGCCGTTGCTACGGTTGAGCTGCAGAGGAGGTCAAGCCCAGGCGACTTGTCTGATGAGCATCGGGTCAAACTTCGAAAAACTGACCCTTGACCACCTCTTCGAAATGCCGCGTCTGTCTGCGCAACCTCTCGGCATGTGGAGTTTGAAAGCCTGCGCCAGGCTCCCTTCGGCGGGACTCCTGTTGTTTTGCGATTCTGGCGGGACTTTCTAGATCTTGAATTTTGATGAATTTTGCATGCGAAGGGCTTCGGGGTTCGCATGCGAGGAGTGGAAATGCGGGCTACCTGCGCTGATCCGCTTCGAGGTCCTCTCTGTAGCGGGCTTCGTGCGACGCCTTGAGATCTTCATACCAGTGGCGATGGCCAGCTCCTGGATGGCCGTGTCCAGTGAAACCTGGAGCGTGTGCGGTACTGGTTTGAGCTACAGTCACCGTGCTCTTGTAGTACGCAGCTATGATATCAGCCGTGGTAGTGACAGGCATGAGGCGGAGGAGCTGCAGTTGAAGCTGCTGCTGTCCCTATTGACGTTTGTTTGTGCGACAATGTGAGCAAAATCCCCATCAGGAATTGGATTGCCCTTCTTCACACCCTTCTTGCTAGTAGTGCTGTCAACTGTGCTCCAAAGGATTCACCGGACTCGCCATCTACATCCAAACCCAGAACACGGAATCTCATCTCGGAGTTGTACAGCCAAGCAGCCGTTTCGGTCTCGCGGTGGTGTGGGATGTCGCACCGTGGCACCTCTCACGATGGGATGTCGACTACGCTTTCGGTTGGTCGAATCAATCAAGACGTCCAGCAGCTGCAATGCAGAAACTTGTATCGCTACCGAAATCCATCCCTCCAACTCAGTCTAGACTCAAGAGTCTAGAAGCACGGCTGAAACTCCAACACCCCAAGCCTCCAGTTCCTCCCGGCAGACCGTGGTCGTAAACCTTCCGCCGTGCAGGATCTCGGAGCGTCTCCCAGGCATGTTGGACTCGCTGGAAGCGGGCGGAGCAGGACCCGGCTACCTCGGATTTTCAGCTAGCAGAAGAGAGCTTGTACCCCTGTACTCTACCGCCCCAATTCTACACTCCCCGATCACCAATCATTTGCCAATATTTACTCCAACGGAGCGGGGTTTGGGGTTTAGGAACGCTAGCACGAGTGCAGCTTGGTGAAGGCAGGAGTTCTTGTTAGTGCCCCATTCTAGATCAGTTCTGTCGGGAGACTCACGGACTCACGGATATTTCTTGGAGACTTCGATCGACAAGCCGAGTTCCATGACGAAAACAGTTCCCCACAGCAGAGAGATTTGACCAAGCCACATCCGGGTGGTATTGCTTGGCACGGCGCAGGTAAGCCTCGCGGAGCTCGTGCTGCGAAGCTGTTGGGCGCACACCCAGGGCATGATACAGGTCACAGCGCCGCACATGGCTCAGGCGCAGCATGTTGGCAAGAGAGGGGGGGCCTCAGGAATCGAGTTCCTGATCATCACTACCACCGTGTCATTCTGATTATAATCACCCCAGTGTGTCGCTGTTCCGGTCGTTCTTGGGGCCAATTTCTGGCCTGGCGCTTTCGGGCTGCCGGGTTCGGGTGTAAATGGCCTCAGGTATGCCAAGCAAGGGACCCGGAGCTGGAGGATCATCTATGCTTGCGGACACTAGACCCCAACCGCAATCACACAAGCGCGAACTCAAAGCCACAGAGTCTTTGGTTGCTTGCGCTCCGAGAGTATGATCCCATTTTCATGGAAAAAATCACCAAGAATCGACCCGCTGTCGGGGAATCGCCTCAGAGAGTCCGATTCTGCAACCTTCCCCAAAGATCCGGGAAACGGATCATGATCTTGTCTTTCCGGTTTGGATTTTTCGGATGGTCTAAAGACCGCGCTACTAAGCCCTTGGCAAATCCCACGCAAACCCTTTCGACAACGCCTCTGAACCCCAAACTCTCATCCACAACCTACCCCTAAACTTCCCTAAACCCTCCCAGACAGGGCCAATGAAAAAACGGGCCTTAATAATTAGAATAAGGTTTTGGGGCCCATTATAGTATTACTATTCTGGTAACAAGGAATCCTAACAGTAATATTGATAAATAGTTAACCTTCAATATTACCCCAAACATCTCCCTAAACCCTAAACCCCAAACATCTCCCTAAACCCTAAACCTTAAACCCCAAGCCCCGAACATCTCCCTAAACCCTACACCCCAAAGCCCAAACCCCAAACATCTCCCTAAACCCTAAACCCCAAACCCCAAACCCCAAACATCTCCCTAAACCCTAAACCCCAAACCCCAAACCCCAAACATCTTCCTAAACCTTAAACCCCAAACCCCAAACATCTCCCTAAACCCGAGACCCTAAACCCTAAACCCCAAACATCTCCCCCGGGTTGCCGGCTGCGAGGCGCGCTCCCGGAGGCGGCGGCAGGCCGTGGCCGGCCAACTCTCCACAGCATCCTGAAAAGAGGGGACCCTAATATAGTACCCCAAGTAATAGGATCCTTATTGTAAGGACCCCCAAATAAGGTAACCCCCATTTTCGAAAAGAGTCGGTAGGGGTTTAGGGCTTTCGGGGTTTGGGGGTGTTAGGGTTTTGGGCTTAGGAATGGGGGCTTAGGGCTTTAGGGGTTTGGGGGTGTTAGGGCTTAGGGTTTAGGAATTTGTTCAGGGGGGTTTAGGGGCTTGAGGGGGTCAGGGGTTAGGGGGGGTGGGGGTTTTGGTGCTTGGGGGTTAGTGTGAGGAGTGGTTCAGGGGTTTAGGGTTTTAGCAGCTTTAGGGCTTAAGGCTGCCATGCGCTCCGACTGTACTGCTGTACGTTGCAAAAAGCGGATTAAGTCTGGCTGGCGCGTCGGCGCAGCTAGGTTTAGGGTTAGAGTTTAAGCTTTGGGGCGGGGTATTTTTTGGTTTGCAACTACAGTCTTGAGGGATGTTGTGGGGCTGGGGATACTGGGAGTCCGGGGTGGTTGGTGGTTGTGGCACTTCAATGGCTCTTGGGACTTGGGAGCGCAAAATCTGGCGGCTTGACGGCTCAAAGAGGGCGGGAATCCCTCCAGTCAATTCCCAAGCTCAAGCCCGAAACGCTGCCCTACAGCTGAGAAATCCCTACCCCCAAACACCCCACACGAAATCCTTCCATACATCGGATTTATCATTTATCCCTTCACGACGACCTGAACCACGTAACACCCTCGACCCCAATCCCAAGCCCTTTTGGGTGCCTCCGGGCGAATGCCCACAGCACATTCCACCAGCTGCTGGCAACACGCGACCAGAGCTGCAGGGTCGTGGACCTCCAACCTCGGGCGTGCTTCGATCTTGTAAGTCACTGGGGGGGCAAACCATGATACTGCACTAATCCTTTTACCACATATGTTGTAACATACACATTTTGGATTGTGTGATCGACGTTTGTGTGGCTGCCATGTCTGCCGTGCATGTGCAACGCAAATGCCCAGGGTTAGGTTGTCATTGCCACCCCTCCTAAACCCACCACGAAAAACACTGGTCCCACAAAAGAGGTGGAATGCACTCCATCTTAACAGTGGTGGCGATACTTAGTCTCGCCTGCACGGCAACCACATGCACGAGTAGACGAGCAGCGAGGATTGCGTTGGTACTCTACAGCACATTTCGCTGGCAAAACAGCAATATCAAACACACAACACACACTACGATATCACAACCCGCGCCCTGACCCTGAAACCCTCCGCCCCGATTTTCCTGGATAGCTAACCAAAATTCCCATGCCGCCCCACCAAGAGGCCGACTCCATCCTTCGTACCACGCGCTTCGCCGCCGCAAGGGTGCTTTGCTGCAACATCATGTCCTGAAAAGCTGAGAAGTTTCCTGCCTGTCGTTGGTGTTCGAGGAGTGGTGGTGGGAGCGGGAGCGGGAGTAGGAGTGCGAGGAGGAGTGGGAGGAGGAGTGGATTAGTAGCAATGTTTGTGGCTGTTTCGGGCACATTCGCAAAATCGTGACTCCATCTGGCGGGATGGACTCAGCAAAGAGCCCCGTGTTGGTACCCGTGCTATCTGCAATCCATGAACCAAAACACGTCCTCAAAACCCAAAGTGTGTACCTCTAGCCCTAGTTTTGATCTCAAAGTACCCTGAGGCCCTTCATTCTTCAATCCCAGCTCCTACTAAGTCCTACCACTCCACTATGCTCAGATGCCTGAACCCTGAACCCTTAAACCCGCAACCCAACCCTGTGGACAAAATTCCGGCTGAGGAGACGACAGCTAAGCCACCCTCGGCGCAGAACTCCTCCGGCGGATATTTTAAACATCGTCACAACGATTATGATTATAGTATTCCTAGTGCTGCGACTACTGCTTACTTAATATTGCTAAAGTCAGCAGTATAATTGTGTTTGCAACTATTGCCACAATACCGGTGTAATTTGTATTACTTCTACTCTCATCTGCATTGTCAAGGCAATCTCCCAAAAACTGAATGCAGACCATGGGCCCTCGGAAAGATGATGGCATTTCTGAGGCCTTACTGATTAGAATCGGGTTTCAAGGAATGTTGCACTATAGTTATGGCAAGTTATAATACTAAAACCACGAGGAATATTACTCGGATGTGGATTCCGGGCGCTTCAGTAGCTAGGCCGTGTTCCCGGCTTTACACGCTGAAGCCGCAACCGAGAACGCCTATAAGAGCTGAGAGGAACCCTTACTAGAAGCCTTATAGGAACTCTCCTTCAAGGAGATGCGCCCGCTTTTGTCTCGATCCTGGCGAGAGGAGCGTTCGAGGGGCTGAAGAAGCAGCTAGAGCTCAGGGTTCGGGTTCTGAGTTTGGGTTTGGGAGGGTGGAAGCTACTACAACCTGTGTCTGCTGGCAGGCACCGCAGCTGAGCCCTCAGCCCACAACAGCCAGCATCGCTCAATCCACTCGCGACCTGATGCGCGACAGCCATCGTTCAAACCAGGTCACAGCTGAGGTATCCAAACGTCTTCGCAGGGAATCAGGCAACCTATGATGATAACGGTGCTGATGAGCGCAAGGAAATGTTGATCTTGATCATGACAACGACTGTCGTCATGCCACAATCACAAGGCAACAGTGCCCAAACGGCCAGAGTCATCATCATCATCATCACTGTTTCTGTCCTCCTCACCGTCACCATCATTGTCACCCTTTGAAATTCAGGAAAAACATGGGCTCCTGGCTGGCAGCCACTGCGGAGGCTTCCAGTGACGAAGTCCCACAGGATTTGAGCACCTGACAGACAGCGACCGCTCTCTTGTCGTCTGCTATGGGTCGAAAACGGGAATCACAATCGTCGGAACTTCGTCGTCGGATCAGTATAGTTAGAGTCAATCGTTTGCAGCGCGTAATTTCTAGTGACCGCCTCCCAAACAAAGTGCCCCACAGCCTCACCTGTTGATCTGAGAGCCTGACCGCACGCAGCACTTCCGCCTGCGCATGATCGGCTTAGGCTTCTGGCTGGACCTGGCTAGACCTAGATTTCGTCTCATGGCCTACAAATCCTGAGGGGCAAAGTCTGCACGTTTCAAGCATGCTCGTGCACCTTGCCCATTCCAGTGGTCCCTGCCGTAGCCCAATGGCGGAACCTCGGCCAAAAGCCCCCTCCCAAAGAGATCACAAGACGAGGTGGCTTTGAGGCTTCCGACTTTGGGGTTCAGGTGAAGCTTGGGAGGTCAGTGTTTAAGGCCAAAACTGGACTCCCAATCGAGACTCTCGGGTACCAACCCCCCCTCACTGAGCTCGGGTTCTAATTTGGTACTACTCAGAAGCAGGAGCAACTTGCATGTCAGGGGATCGTTGATTCAGGTCTGCGGGCCTATGGGGTCTACATAGGATCTACTCACATGTAGCGTAAAGGCTTAAAGCTTTCCACCTGGTAGATGCAAGCCCAACCCTCGGCCACGGAAAGACAGCGTGCACATCCGAAGGCCATCTCTGGGACCGCTGCCATCCTTCACCTTGGCCAGATCAAGCATTCAAGAGAGTAATTAAGATTATAAATAAGGTAACTATAGTTATAAGTTATAATTATGTATATCTCCCATTAAGGTACTCATAACTCATAACCTTACTGTGTCTACAGTAGGGTCCAAGGTCTTGGCCTGCTGCCAGAAACCAACAAGTCCAGAAGCTCTCACTGCGGCTTAAAGAAAACTTCTCCTTGGTTTCAGGGCTGTTGCTCCGCCTCTAGGGTTCGTCCCTCTCCTTTTGTCCAGGTGCATCGTTGCAGAACAGCCTGGGGCTTGCAGCTTTAGCCTCCAAAGCAAGGGTCAAAGGTTTAGGCATGGGATAATGAGCCCCACAACTTTCCATGCAAACCGAAACTTAAGTGCCACATCACGCACATTCACTCACCCACACACTTCTCCGAGATTCTGGCGATCTTGATCCAAAGGGGGCGGAGGCCTGAGTCGGAGGCACGTCTCGGCTTTGGCTTGGGGTTGCGGGTGTCGGAATGAAGGGCATTAGGAATCATTAGGGCTTGCAGGGTTCAGGGTTCAGAGGCTCGGCTGCCTCACAGAGTGTGGGCTCAGGCTTGGTTCTCAGAGCTCTCGGATTTCGGGAATTCCTGAGGGCAAGGCCCTTTTTCGCGCTCTTCGTTGAGTTCCACGAGGTGCTCCGCCAGCCACCGCCTCAAGACCAAAGAGCTTTCGGGATTGTTCGACCGAATGGGTGAGCCATCGTGGCATATGCTGTCCTGTGATCACTCCAGTCTTCTCATCGCTTTTTGCTGCCTCTTCGTTCTGCGTTTGTCCCCTTGCGTCTGCTTGCCTTCTCCCAGAAACGTGGGAGTCACTCTGCTCTCTGTCGGGACTCCTTGTACATCGGACCTAGGACCTCGCAGCTTCTGAGAGCGGTGCAGCAGCCCTCGTTCCGCACAGAAGGCCTTTCGCGAGATCCGGCCCTCCCCGGCCGGGTCCTGCCAGCTCAGGGCACGATTCCCAAAAACCGAAGCAGAAATCCGACGAGACAGCAGAGTAAGTGGTTGGGGATGTTCGCAGGTCGGCAGTCATCTCGAACCACGATAGCAAGTTGTAAGTTCCAGGAACGCGGTTCAAGCAGACATGGTCCTGCAAGCCCTTTCGGGCCTGCTTCCATCCGAACTTCAGGAGCTGTTTTGGGCTCCCGACAATCAAGAACCAAGGGTTTGAGAGTCTTCTTGGGACAAGAAGCTTTAGGGGTTCTTGAGAGGTTCGACCTGTGGTCCGTTGCCGTTGGTTCCCAACCTCTGAACCATACTCAGCAAGAACCCTGAGGACTTGTAATTGTAACTGTGTAATCTGTTCTTTGCGAAATCAGCGCGCATCAGGGAGCACGGTCCCATTCACGCCATAGAGAGCCGCGCAGGGAAGCCTGTCCAGGGAAAGGCGACAGCTTTGGGGCTGCGGAGTGGGTACTGACAGTCTGGTCGCTATGCGAATGCACTTAGCAACGACAACGCGGAACCAGGACAGAAACCTAGGATGTTAGAAGGCCCAACACCATGGCTCGAAGTCCTTCTTCCGACAGCTGTGATCGCTCCTCCCTTAAGCGCTTAGCCGTTTAGTACTGTCTCGGCTTCAGTGCAGCTCTTGACGTTCTCTCCCGCCTCTAACTTTGCTGCATCCACCGGGACTACTGCTGGCAACACCTGAGGAGATGGCTTGCAGCTAATCGCTTCTCAGGGTTCATCTCCTTTCACGCTGACCTCAGTGACACCTTCAACTTCGCTGCTGTTGATATCAAGAAGAGGACAACAAGATGCGAGAGCTCAAGAAGCAAGCCTTCAAATCCCTCTTCGATGCCCCTCACCTCATGTGACATCGTAGACACAGCTGGCACCCATGCTTTCGTGCACACACTAGACGTGAATCTCTAGACATCGCAACTCCACGGGTGTGATCCCCGTGCTTGCAGCTCCTGCGAAGACATCGGTCAATCAAACCGAAGCCACGAGGGTGCCGGTATCCGGGAAGCTCCCCTTGGGGCAGCCCTGTAGAAAAACCGGATGGGCAGACTCAGCCGAGCCTTCTCCAGGAGCTGTCGTTCCAGGTACCCCGAGCCCTCCTCGTCGAAGAAGGCGAACCAAGCTGCCGGATCCTGTGGACGAACAAGCTGAACAGACATCAGCTCATGCAGAAATTATCGAACTATCGCTCCTGTTCTGAGGCTCACTTGCTTCCCTCTAGCCTCGACCCGGCCTCACGCGGGTCCGGAGGTCGGTGAGGTGGCGGCTGGAAGGTCTGGCGGCAAACTGGACACCGGGGACCTGAGTCAAAGCCACCGACGAAGATTTTGCCGGTAGTGCAATATATGGAAGTAACCTGAGGCTGCGGCTGGTCGATTGCAGAGAGAGCTCTGTTGCGCAGGCTGTACACAAAAAGTGTCCGCACGTGCGGCCTCAGATCAATGCAGCCCTTTTTGCGTCCTGGCTTCGCACCGCCCTAAAGTTCCTAAAGCCGAGAAGTTCGGGCAGTGATCTCTGCGTCTGTCCAGGGCTGCTGCGGCCACTAGCATCCACGAGTGCTGCAGGCCCTCCTTCACCTCAGCGACATACTCGGCTACAGCATAGCAAGGTCAAAGGCGATACCCTTCATGAAGACGGACGGCACCACGGATGACGGCAGGTGGGCGATAAGGGAAGAGTGCCGAGGACGAGGGCGACAATGCTAGTGATGATGGGGAAATCATCATGATGATGACGAGGATCGTGATGACGATAAGAAGCCCCGGGCGGCGGCGAGGATGCTGATGGTGATGCTGTTTTGAGATGCAGAAACAGCTAGTTATGGTGATGACGGTTCCGGAGATGATGATCATGATCATGATCATGATCATGATGATGATGATGATGATGATGAGGATGATGGGGAAGACGATGACGATGACGATGACGATGACGATGGCGATGGCGATGGCGATGGCGATTATGGATCATGATGATGGTGATTGATAATAATAATAATGATGATGATGATGACGACGACGATGACCATGATGATGATGATGATGATGACGATGATGATGATGATGATGATGATGATGACGATGACGGGGATACCGGCGATAGTGAAAGTTGTTATGATTGTGACGATGCTGATGCTGACCACTCACCAGCACCATGACCGCCAACGCCATCATCACAATGTTTGTCATCCACATCGTCATCACCATCGCCCGTGGCACCATTACCACCGTTCTCGTCTCTGTCATCGTCACTGGCGTCGTCATAGTCGTAGCCTAGATGGCACCATCTTCCAATCTTGAAAAAAAATATACACATATAAAATACGTACAAAAACAATATATTAAACATACAAAACAATTTGATAAGTTCAAAACAACAACATAATCAACCAATTAGCATCAAATTATCTTGTCTCATTTTTATCTATTTTTAGAAGCATCATCGTCATCATCACCATCATCATCATCGAAGTGTGCGCATGTCCCTGAAGCTGCAGGGATGGTAAGGACGAGACAGAGTGCTCTGAAGCACACTGGACATTCTGCCAATCCTTCCGCCTGGAAGCAACTCCAAACACTTAACTACATGCGGTGGTGTTGTCCGGGTCTTAGGCTCAAAGTGTTGAGTTTGGAGAGGTTTAGCTTTGAGCCTGAATGACCAGGGAAAGGAGATGCTTGGAGTGTAATTTTCGGCGTTTACGGATTTTAAGTCCTCAGCGTGCAAAAGGACCGAAAACCCAAAAATCCTCTGCTCCCGGCCTCCGGCGCAGCTGGCCGTGCCCAAGCGTCACGCTCCTCGGCCCACTGCCCTGACCAGGTGATCGGGCGGTTGGCAGGAGCAGGAGGAGTGGTGCCCGAGTTACACACTTCTTCATCCTCGTCATCATCATGGTCATCATCATCATCATCATCCTCAGCATCAGCACCGCAAAGACCATCACCTGCACCACCACCACCACCACCACCACCACAACAACAACAACAACAACCACCCCACCACCACTACCACCCCACCACCCTACCAGCACCACCACCACGAGCGCAACATCATCCTCGCCACAGTCATCATCATCAGGAGCAGTAGCATAATCATCATTTCCATGTTCATCACCATCACCGCCACGTCACCACTCTCATAATCCTCACTGTCATCGCTGTTGTCATCGTCCTCTAGTCTTCCCCGTCCGACATCATTCGCCATCACCATCACTACAACACGGATTTCCTTGCGAACAGATGTAGTTGGCGCTGCCCTCTTTGGTAGCTGTAGCTACTTGTCTGCAGCTTTCGGAACCACTGTTGGGGTTTGAGGCCACCGCCCTGCGTCCCCTGAACTCAAGATAGCAACATACCCAGAAAGGAGGGACAGCCTTTGGAATTGCAGGCTTTCGTGGTTTCCTGCGCACTCCTCCAACATAACAGGCCTAGACACACCGAGCCCTGACCCCGATGAACCGTCCGTCCTACAATCTCATATTCTCAAGAGTTCAACCTTCTACATCCTGCAAGGCCCAGCAACCGTCAGCTCTTCATACCCAGCCGAAGCAATCTCCCAATTGGTGGCCTATCAGGCGCTTGGCCAATTCGCGATGCCCACCTCATCTTTGGGCTCCGAGGCTCAGATTTTGAACTGCCTCTTACTTAGATTGTCCGGGGATTACACATTTACAACTCAGTGGCTTGATCCCCCTAGTTTGCATCTTTCCGGCCTGATCATACGAGTAAAAAAACAGAAAGCCCAGGGAGCGGACCGTCCTCGAGGACTCGGGGTGAAGCATCAAAAGAAAACCCAGAAGCCAAGAGCCAGAAACACAAGCTCCCAATTCAGATGCCTGAGAAACTGAGAATAACAGTAATTGTGTGAAGGGTTTCCTAAAGCCTAAAGCCCCAAACCCCACAAAATAATAGGCTCCGATCCGTAACTTTTGCATGTGCGATCCGGGCGCCTTCGACCGCTGCACGCAGCGCCCGAGCCTCTTCTTGTCTGAAGTTCTTGAAACTAAATTAAGGGTTTAGGGTTTAGGGTTTAGGGTTTAGGGTTTAGGGTTTAGGGTAGGCGTCTTTGGGGTCTATAAGCCCTGATGACGGCTTCACAGGGGGGGTTCTTGTAATCAGGATCCTACCAATAAGCGTCTGCATGAGTCTCCCCGAATTGATGAAATTCCTGGCTGCTCGTCGAAATGAACAGATACAGACTGATACAGAGGAGGATGGGATCCACAAGCGGCCATTCACATACATAAATCATAAACCGATCCAGAAACAAGATACACAACAGAGGGCCTTAATGGAGTAGAATAGGGCATTGCGGTGTGTTGTAGATTGTAGTATGGCTATAAAGAGGATTTCTGAGGAATGCTAATGTTGGTAACTATATACTCGGGCTTTTATGTCAGGCTGATGCTCGACATGGGTGGGAGCCTGCGCGGCCAAATCGCTATCCAGAGAAGCACCACGGTCCTGACATGGCTTGATGGGCTTCACAAACCAATCCTGAAAGGAGGGCTTACCGAAATTGCAGCGTAGGGTAAAATGTTTGGGTGGGCCAGAAGGAACCGGGCATGCCGTTGGCACCCTCTCTGCCGGGAGTCCATGAGGTTGAACCCACTTCGGGAGGGAAACGACCCCACCTGGCCTTCGGGCATGTTCCAAGAGTGTTTTGCAATGGTCTTCCAACCCCTGGGAAAACCTGAAGGAGCCTTGAACCCGTTCATCCGAGGTCTGGGCAAAGAGCAGCAGCGCAACATCGTCCCAGCCAAGATCGAGGGCCTGTTTTGCCATCCGTGGAACGTTGACATAGCCTGCGGGACGGGGAAATGGCTCTTGCCTTCTCCACGATGGATCTCCCATCAGGTAGCCTGCCGGTGACCTCAGCATTACATCGGTTGCCCAAACATAGCATACCGCATGGATGTTCCGGTCACAAATGGTGCGCCTCTGCTTTCACAATGACATCCACAATGGGTTTTCGGCAGCTGATCACAACTGCTTTGTGGTGGAACACCTCCTGCAAGTAAACCACATCTGGTGAGGATGGGGCCGGCAGGTCAACAGCTTCTCGCAGAAGCATTCGGCAGAGCTGTTCCTTGGAGGCTTCGATTCTACAAGCACATCAACGAGCAAGCTGAGCATGATCGGAGGAATGCAGTAAAGCTCTGAGCAGCATGCCCCCCAATATCGGCCCTGGTGAATGGCGCTGCAGAGAACTGCTCCCAATAGCGGGATTGCGAGACCTGGCACAAAGCAGAGTTCGGACAAGGCAACCCGACAGCCCCACAGCCCAAAATCCGAAACCCTCAGACTAAAAAAACACTCACCCTAAGAAGGCCACTGAAACTAAATATGCCTAACAGCTGTTCCAGCAGCAGCCTTGGCTTCGGCGCAATCGTGCATAGAGCTCCGCAAAGCAGCCGCAGCCTGAGGAAAGGGAAAGGGACTTCCGGTGACCTGGCCTGGCCGTCCTCCACCCTTCTGAGATGTATTTAGGGGTTACACCAAAAAGCCCCGATCCCACCATGTCGAGTCTTGCACTGGTTGGCGGACAGCACCGAGCCAGGGACGAACCGGGCCCGGCTTGGACGCCTCGCGCAGAATGGGCCTGGGACTTTCTAGATGGTCTCAAAAAGCGCATCAAAGGACACACTGCCGCGGAAACATAATTATTGATTACAAGGACGACGACGTCGTCGACGCCCTCGTCGCTGTTAGAAGGGAATCGCAGCGGTGGTTGGGGCGGCTGCAGCAGAGTGTACGTGTTTGGCAGTCCTCCATACGGAGGGTAAACAATCGTCTGGATGTCTGAGGCCAGAATTATGAAGGGATTTGTGTATGGGCCAAAAGACCACACCGACCAACAGGTAACCAGTGATCCTGGAACCTCCCACGCTTCAACTGGAAGACCCCCCAAAACCCTCATCCCGAGACTTCCCCAAAAAAAACCACAGCCAGGGCCCTGGCATCCACTGCTGGGCGGCCTGGGCCCCACTGGGGGACGCTGGGCCATCGAAGGAGGGAGCTGCGCAGAGGCGATCCACCTGTGTTCTGCTTAGGGCTCCTACCGAGGTTTCCATGGTGCTTTCTTTATGGATTTAGGCTTCAGGGTTTTGATGGATTCTAGAAGGGCTGTATGAGGGTCCTACAAGGGCTGTCTGAAGGTTCTGTACGGGTGCTTTTTGTCAGGATTCTTTGGCATATGGGCCGCCGTTTAAGCACTGGGGGTTTCTTTAGGTTTCGGGGCGTTGCAGTTTCTGGATTTAAAGCTTCAGCGTTGTTCAGGGATTAGGCCTGGCTTGGGTCTAGGTCAGGGCTTTGGGGTTGCAACGACATTTTGTGGTTTGTTGAGTTCAGGGTTTCTCAGGTTGTGTGACTTGGGATGTGACAATGACTTCGAATGACTTTGTCGTGAGTTTGTCGGTTGTGGGAGCCCTGAACCTCCGCAGCCTAAAGCAAAGCCGTCCCAGCGTCAAGACCCTGCTCTAGGCTTCTGTGTTTTCCTTCTGTTTTCAATTGGAAACCCGATAGAGCTGGAGCACCAACCTGAAAGCGCCTGGATTGCCAACACAGCACCAGCACGTTCGCTGAGACTCTCGAGCATGACAGCCCAGCACGACTCCGCTCTGAGGTCTGCACCATGTCTCCCAGCAGCTCACGACGATCTGGGCCCCCCCAGGGCTCAGCCATGCCGGGCCTTAACTCCAGGAGCGGCAGGGCTTTGGGGCTGTGGGGCCTTGTGCTCAGAACTCACTCCCACCAATGCCTCCGAAAGCTCGCAGCCAAGGACCAGGGTCTTCTGAAAAGCCCCTGCCAAACTCACGCCTCAGAAGACCCCATGCAACCCTCATAAAACACAGCGCGCATAGAACAAACCCATAAACCCCTATAGAATACCCCTGTAGAACTCTCACAGAACCCATCTGCCCTAAAGAACGCTCATACAGCCCAGCTACAAACTCCTGCAGATTCCTCACAGAACCCTTGTTTGTGGCAACCCTCATAGAACCCTAAACCCTACAACCCCGAAGCCGTAATCCTGACCTACACCCTAAACCCTTAAACCCCAGAGCCGTGATCCTAACCCTAAACTCCCGAAACCCTAATCCCAAAACCCTAAACCCTGAACCCTAAACCCCTAAACCCCTGAACCCTAAACCCCTAACTAAACCCTAAACCCTCAACCCAACCCTTA